CACACACACACACACACACACACACACACACATGCACACACACACATATACACACCTACACCCACACCCACGCCATACACATCCACCGCACACACCATGTGTGCACACAATTGTTAATATGACGACGCCGTCACACATGTGTGATATTGATGCACTTTTGGCACAGACCTAGATTTGAACGTTTGTTTTTGTGTTATCTGATCGTAAGTTTTATTTGCAGATTGTCCTGTAATCAGTAGTTGATTGATACTGCAGTGCGAATGCTGCCAAGGGAAGTTCTTCATAATGGCTGTTTCTGTGGATTGCAGTGTGTGGGATGTGGGATGTGGGATGTGTTTCCATGTCTCAGAGTGGTGCGTCCATGAATTGCTCAGGGAGCCGGCAGCTCAGGTCTGCGTCCGTGTCACGTAAGCGTTCGGTGTCTGAAAGAGACGAGGTTGCCACCGTCATTGTCCCAGAAGAGTGTCCGCTGCAGTCCTTAGGCCGTGTGTTCCTTCGCAAGTGGACGGAGTGTAGTTCATTCATTGTGGACGTCTTTGTCAATTTGATGGTGTGTTCATTCTGTTTTTACAGATGTCGTACTATTCTGATTTTCTGCTTTCTATGGTGAGGCACAATTTGGAAGTGCTCGCTAGGGCCAATTGTCGGGTGTTTATGCAAGCCACCGGCGGTTCCTGCACTTGGGAAGCTCGTGGGTGAGTGGCATTTGAATCTGTTGTGGCTGTACTATGAATGACTCGATCGAGGTTTCGCACAACCTTTCGTTTATGGCTTCCACTTTTCCGGTTGCCGATCTTTTGTCTGTATATATATATACATATATACTGGAACTCCTCTGGAGGGGAGGGAGGCGGAGGTGTGATGACATTTCCAGCTCTTGCAGTTATTGTCCGGCTTTTTCTCTTCGTGGTGGGCATTCAATAGTTCGTGTTGGTTCCCTAACCTTCTGCAGTTGTTGTCCATTCCTAACATTGTTTTGTGAAGTTAATGGCAGAAGGGTGTACCTTTACAGAAGTACTTGTCTCTGAATATTCATGGATGGAGTTCTGAACGTTCACCGGTTTCCAGCCTTCTCTGTGAATCGCTGCTGCGACAAGCTCAACCTCATTTATCAGGTATTTTTTAATATTTTATCCTTCCTTCCTTCCTGCCTGCCTACCTTCACTTGTTTCTACTGTCTTATTTCACATCCTGTTACGAGCCATCGATCTCATTATCTGTCTCATTATGAGCATGTACAGTTCTTGGTGACGTTTTTCGTCTGCTATATTGTTAGAGCTAATCTTTGAAATGGATGTTGTCATTGAGTCGAATGAAGTCGAATGATAACATTTTTCAACTTCTCAAGTGGGATATAATGGGTGAACACGAACGCATTGAAAAGGACATTTGTACACTGACACTTTGTGTTTTAGTTTGACGAGATTTGCAAGATAGAACGATGAACAATCCCGGAAGGTCTGTTCTGATGTGTCTGACTGTTTGTCTTTCTTGTACACATCATTCATACAGCTCGTTAAGTTCTTACAGGTGACATGTCTGCGTTTCACCAATGACCCTTGTAAAATGTGTTTATAATTTTATATGTTCACCTGATGTACAGCATTACTCTCTCTCTCTCTCTCTCTCTCTCTCTCTCTCTCTCTCTCTCTCTCTCTC